CAATGCTCTCTTTAAATCTCAGCTATTAATCAGTGCTGTTTAAGAATCCATCTTTTCCAACAAAAGAGAGCTCGAATAAAAAAAGAAAATTGTAATTGAGATCCAGTTTTTACAACAAAAATAATCAATTCAATTTCTATTTGGAATACTGGTGAGTTTAGTTTTTTATTCTGTTATTTTTTTTCATTCACTTATTTTAATCCGGCCAAATTTACCCTCTCTTCACATCCAAGCTATTAATCATTAGTATTACGTAATAATTTTGGTTTAAGTAAGATTTTCAATACCAAATTATTTATTAAGCTGTTGAGAAAACCTTTAGCAGACGTAGAAATGATAGACATTAGCAAACCTATGCACATAATACAGCAAAACGTGTTCATGTAGTTTAAAAGCTCAGATAGCAAACTGGTTATCTCTGTAACTCGAAACATTTTAGATTTAGTTTGTCTGTTTGATGAACATATTATTTTTTATGTGTTTATTGTAATCTACCCTCTGTAACAGTCTCTATATTGTATGAGTGTGTCTCTGATTTCCTCTGTGATAGAAAGGTGACCTCTATCACAATAACTACTGGAGATGAACACTAGTTCTGGAGCTATTCATTGGCCGTCTGGATGCTCAATAATACAGATGTTTGAATCTATAAAATAAATCCCCAAAGTAACAAAGTCTAACAGATGAAAAAAATGATATTTAATCTACAATGGTGATTCCCAATTCTGGCATAAAGTAGATCACAGATCTTTAATTCCAGTCCTTGAGGTCTGGTGTTCTGCTCCCTTTAAATGTGTCGCTGCTTCAAACACCTGAATTAAATAGATGAATTACCTCCTCAGTATGTAGAGAAAGGTCTGGTCCCAATGTCCACACTACACCCTACACCCCTCTATGAACTATGAACTATGTAGTTGGTCAGATTGATGTAATAGTTCAGACTTCCCTGCAGTGATTTACATCATACTGTTAGTGTATGTGTTGAGATGTTGGTAGAAATGGTTATCTCAGTGCCAGATGCGACACCTTACTGCTTTATATCTGTCTTTACCTATGAAACATCTTCTTGCTTCTGGGATTTAGTGATTGAATCTTGTATTATTAGAAAGAAACAAATCAAACAAAATTTTTATTATTTTTATATAATATTTTCATGGTTGAGATTAAGTTGTTATCCATGGCAATTAACTTTACTGTAGTTTCTGTTTAATATACATCTATATCAGTTTTCTGACTGAATATTATTCATTCCAGTCTCTAAGCCCACTGTGACCCTTCAACCCAACTGGTCCCAGATATTCAGAGGAGAGAAAGTCACTCTGAGATGTGAGATCCATGGAGATGGAGGAACTCAGTGGACGAATGAATGGCATCCAACCAACAGAAACTCTGAAACATCCAGTGAATACAGGATCAACACAGCTACTGAGTCTGGTGATACATACCGGTGTAAGGCTAGAGGAGACTACCAGATAACAGACTGGAGTGATGCCTTCAGACTGACAGTGAGAGGTGAGTCAAACTGAAAATGTTTAGTTTGTCTTGTTTTCATACACATCAACCTAAATAAAATAGTAGGCACCTTTGTTTAATGAGTGAATGAGCCCAAATGTGAAAAGACCAAACAGTAGTGTAAATATGCAGTTAGAGGCTAAAAGACATAAAATAAAGGAAGTTTTTTCCTCCATCTACGCTGGTCCCGTTTATAAATCTTAAAGCAGATAAAATCTATATTTCCTGTATCTCCATGCTTTGACAGTATTTCTAAGCTTTGTAACAGAAGATAAATGACTCATTCAGAGGTTAAGGAATGATTTATTTTAGTGAAGATTTTTCTCAAATAAAACTCATTCTAATGATGGTCTGTTTTCTGTTTGTTTCCACCAGCAGATAAACCCACAGCCTCACTGACAGCAGATCAGGAAATAATACCACTAGGGGGCAGTATAACACTGACCTGCTATGTGTCCAGCTCTAATGGCTGGAAGTTTGACTGGTTCAGAAATGGGCAACAATTTTCTGTTGACCAGACCAGAGGAAACATTGATTCTTACAGAGTCATCAGCATCTCAGAGGGAGGTCTATACAGCTGCAGAGGAGGAAGAGGAGATCCAGTTTTCTTCACTGAAGACAGCAGTAAGGTCACAATCTATAAAACTGGTGAGTTTAGATTTATGTTGGAATAAAATAAGATAGTGAATTGTCTCTTCTGTTTTTCAGCCATGTCAATAATATAAACTATGGCTCCAGAATAAAAAAAACATTGCTATAGCTTCAATTGATGATGATGATGCCTCAAAGAAAAGTATTTTTCCTATTCATATGGCAAACAGATGTTTAACATTGCATAGTATTTTACAAGTCTGTAATTTAAAATAGGTTTTTATTTGTAATGCATGTTTGTCTGATGGAACATTTTGGTGTTTTTCATATATGTTACCAGTTCCTGTTATAACCACTGTGATCCAACAACCCAACTGGTCCCAGATATTCAGAGGAGAGACAGTCACTCTGAGATGTGAGATCCATGGAGGTGGAGGAGCTCAGTGGACGTATGAATGGATTCCAACCAACAGAAACTCTCCAACATCCAGTGAATACAGGATCAACACAGCTACTGAATCCTACAGTGGAGAATATAGATGCAGAGGAAGAAGAGATGTCTTTTCAATAACAGAGTGGGGAGTCATTATGTTAAATGTGTCAGGTGAGTTTTTCTATTTTTCACCACTGTCTACATTTAATAGGGATTTTAACACTCTTAGTAGAAAAAATAACAGGCTTTTCACTTAATTCTCTTTAGGTGGAAATATGTTCATTGTTTGACCTGATATAAAAAAAATGTTGAGAATCAACATTTGCAATAGATTAGAATCAGTCACAAATAATCATGTTGAAAACATCAGGATTGCATGCATAGTTTTCTCCATAGATGAAAACATGACAATCATTGGGCCTCATGCAAAAACATTTTAATGTTACTCTTTCGCTTACCGTGGGCTCTTATGAATGTGCCAAATCAGATTCAACATACATTCTTAACTTCAGTAAATAATGATGACAAGTAAATGATCCTTGTAACCCTGATGCATTCCACCTACGCCATATAAGGGTATGAATTCCCATGGGGTTCATTCACACAAAAAAATAATTGAAAATGAAGAAGAAAAACTTGGATTTGGAGATGGAGGTTCTGCTGACTGAGAGTAGAGTAGCAGCATTAAAGGGCCAATAAAAGCCAAGCAATGGGGAATAAATCGCTGGTGATTTAAATTATATGTTTATGCTTTTACAGAAGTAAAAATAAAATAAGAAAAATAAATATAATTTGAAACAGATTGAAATATGATGTAAATGCTTAATATGAGTTCAACATTAACCAACATGACACAACATTATAGAAAATCTCCTTATAATGCGCTCACACGCATCTACTTAACATCCTCAACCAAGTCTGGCTAAACTCTAATTTGGCAGATTCAGGCAGACTGACACCTAACAGTCCACATTTTATGTAATACTAAAATCAAGGAGCTGTGATAAACTGAATTAAATATATTTCTGACCGTTAGAGGATTTTCAAGCAGCAACATGTTGTTGTAGTTTCTACCCATTTTCTGTTCCAGATGTCATTACAATAGAGGCTTGGTCTCTGACTGTTCTGTCTTTTGACAAAATGACAACAAATTAAACCAATGGTCCCATGGATGTTGACACTCTTGCTGCATGTGTAATGACCGATATGTCATCAGTAAATAATATTTCAATTTTTAATTGGAGAGTTGCTTGATGTATCCTGATGAAATGGACAATCGCTTCTAAGTAATAGCAAATATAGTAATTTGCTGAGAAAATAGGTTTGGATGCAGCTGACTGATTAAACCACACTCCTACGTCAAGGCTGAAGCACTCATAAAACTCGTTCATACTTCAAAGTGACATTTTCTCCATAATCAAAATTTTTTCATATGAACGCTTCTTGCATGAGACCCCAGTTCAATAAATTTAACATGAAGGTCTTACTTCAAAAGCAGGGTCTGCCTTTAACTTCAACATTGTGTTTCATGTGTAACACATTCATGTTACTCCAATACATTTAAAGAAATATCGGAGTAAGTTTTGATAACTAATCCATAACCAGCATAAAACAGCAACAGCTGAAACAAAGTGCTGAACATCGATGCAAACTTACTAAAATATGTAGATTGTGCATCAGAATTATTATAAAGAACATTAAAATAATTAAAAACAAACAAGATCAAACAAAAACCATGGAATAAAAACATCTTTTTGGTAACTTATAAAAGTAGGCAGTAAAAGAACCTCTCAGATGTGCAGGAGTAGTTTATTCCTAAATGAGAAGCAGCAATAGAGGCTTTGCTCACTCTAATCGTCCTCTTAGACTTGATTCCTGCAGGAGCTGCTGTTCAGTCGACCTGAGGGGCTGAGAATGATGGTAGAGATGAAGAAGCTCAAAGAGGTACTGCAGGGCAAGGTCATTCAGACAGTTTAAAATTAAAATAATATAATTTTAAAATGAACTTATTTGTTAGTGTTGGCTTCCCAAATATTCTGACAACAGCTCCACCCTGGGAATCTCCTCTCTGTTGACTCACTGCTACTACACAGTGGTTCATTAGGAGCTGTCAATAAATGTTGGAACCAAACCCTCTTCAAAAAACAAAATAAGTAATTTGGGA